GATAAGTAAAACCATAGAATTTAAAGATGGCATACTTTCTTTTTTCAAATGACTGTATTTCCCTTGTTCATCCACAATTGCCTACTGCACCTCCTAATGTTTCCCCCTTAATAATAAGCATTTCTTAAAAAGCAGTCTCTATATTCCTTCAATATTTTGGCATAAGTGATCTGAATTTTAAAGAAAAAGAAAACAAAAGAAAGTCTGGCCTTTCTGTTTCAATGCCCATTTGCATCTTTAGATAGTTAAATTCCTCTTCTCTCCCTCCCTCCCTCCCTCATTGTATGTGTACATGCACATGCACAAGAAAGTCTCTGTGTGTAAACCTGTAATTTCCTCCCATTAGCTGAAGGCGATAGATGGCTTATTGTCCCATTTTTGGCATTTTTTACCCTTGTGCAAGCAGAGAGCTAAAAGTGGTCTCTTGCAAAAGCTTTAATATTTTTATAAGGTGCAGTCCAATTATTATTATCTTCCTTGGGGATCCAGTCAATTAACCCAGCTGTAGATAGTGTATAGTCACTGAGCTTTGTAACCTTATTTATTAATGGGAACCAGGTAAGATAGCTTTAATGTCATCACTTGTCCTTTCTTTTTCTTTCTTTCTTTTTCTTTCTTTCTTTCTTTCTTTCTTTCTTTCTTTCTTTCTTTCTTTCTTTCTTTCTTTTCTTTTCTTTCTTTCTTTCTTTCTTTCTTTCTTTCTTTCTTTCTTTCTTTCTTTCTTTCTTTCTTTCTTTCTCCCTCCCCCTTCCTCCCTCCCTCTCTCGTCTGTCACCCTCACCCCCACCCCTGAACAGTAAGTACATCTCAAATCTAATCATTCGTCTGAACTACTGTCGGTCTACGGAATTAAGAACAACTTGATAAGTCAACATTTCTGTTAGTCACATTGATTCATTGGGTCTACTGCAGTGCGAAGCAAGCGCTGGACTTAAGGCAAAACAGCAACAGAAGTTATAATGGGGGCTTTATCCATGTAACGAGCTGGATTTTACCCCAATTTGCTGATTGCATAGCAGCACAATTCTAGAAAACTGAATGCTGACTTAGTTGTGAGTTTTCTTCCTACTGCTGCTGTACTCCTGGGCATATAGCTTGTTAATATGCCAGGACCTCATGTGTTCCATCAATGAGACATGATCATGATCATGAAGTTGGAAGGGGGTCTATAAAGCCATCAAGTCCAACCCCTTGCTCAGGAATATAAACCAAAGAGTGTCTGCCTAGTGGTTGTCTAAATTTCTCTTGAATGTGCCTCCAGTGTTGGAGCACTCACCATCCCACAATGTCATAGTCATACTGCTCTAACAGTTAAGAGGTTTTTCGTGATATTCAATTGAAATCTGGCTTCCTGTAACTTGAGCCCATTGTTGCATGTCCTGTACTCTAGGTATGACAGCTTTTCAAGTATTTGAAAAGTGCCATCATATCTCCCCTCAGTCTTCTTTTCTCAAGGCTAGACATGCCCAATTCTTTCAGTCTTTCCTCACAGGGTTTGTTTCCAGCCCCATGGCCATGCTCTCCTCTGAACGTGTTCCAATTTGTCTACATCCATCTTAAAGTGGACACGGTACTCAATATGAAGTCTAACGAGTGCTAAATAGATGGGAACTATAACCTCATGGGATCTGGAGACTATACTTCTGTTAATGCAGCCTAAAATAGCATTTGCCTTTTTTGTAGCCACATCATCATCTTAGAACTGTAGACTTGAAGGGACCTTATTGGTCATCGAGTCCAGCTCCTGTCAGGAAAGCACAGTGGACAATCAAACTCCCAACCTCTGGCTCTGCAGCCAGATACCTAAACCACAGAAAACTTTCTGTGGGTTTGAAGGAGATCTTCAAAGTGTTAAAGAAGTGTGCACCCTCTGCTGATGGAAGGGGGAATTCCTCCCCGAGTGTATCAGCATACCTGCTTGTTTCCACTTGTGTGCCACCCATAGTATATACAGTGGTGCCCTGCAAGATGATGTTAATCCGTTCCATTGAAATCGCTGTCTTGTGAAAACATCATCTTGCGAAATGTGATTCCCCTTTGGAATGCATTGAAATCTGTTTAATGCGTTACAATGGGGGAAATAGTTGTCGTTTTGTGAAAATCGCCCGTAGGGAAGCCATTTTGTGAAGCGCAAATCAGCTGTTAAAATCGCTGTCTTGCGATGCATTGGTCTGGAAAACACCCATTTTGCGAGTCGTGGACAATCGTCGTCTTGCAAAGCATCGGTACCGGGCGGAAAACCGTCTTGCGAAGCATGATCCGAAACATCGTATAGTGAAAATCACCCATAGGAAACACTGTTTTGCGAACCGCTATCGCAATCGCAAAAACTCATCGTCATGCGGATTCATCATTTTGCGAGGTAATCGTCTAGCGGGGCACCAATGTATTATGGAGTCTTCATTGGCCTCTCATCCAGAAGAAACTAAGTCAGTGTTGTGTTGTTCCCTCCGATTTCTCGGGAATTGAGAAATAGTACCTACAACTCCTATTACAGTCAAGCTTGTCAGAGCCAATGCCCAGATAATCTCCCATGTGAGAAGAAGAAAGGCCAGATATTATTGCTGACAGTTGCTCAATGAAGAAGTCAACACTACAAGCCTTTCCTTGGGCACAATCCTGGGGGCCAAGCCAACTCCTACGGCTTTCTTTTCTCAAGCTCCATTTCCTCTTTCACATACATTAAGCCTTTTGAACGTTCTTCACCTACTCAACCAACTGGCCTGACATGATGAGCGGATTCTCCTGCCTCAGGATCAACAGCAGCTGACAAGTCAGCTTTAGGCAAGCATAGACACTCCATGCCAGATCCACCTGGCACCCCTCCGATTTTCTCTTCCAAATCTTTCTGACAGCCCATCAGGTTCTCTACTGGCAGCAGCTGACTTGCTGTCAACGTTTCCCTCAAGTTCTCTAAATTCACCAGCGGCCACTTTCCCTCTGCTCTGGGGCAATGTGCAAGGATTTCTGCTCCAAGGCAGTGCTGGAAGGTGTCAAAGCTGTGTGGAATCCCAAAAGCCATGATGCAGCCTCTAAGTGGAAAAAGCAGCCTGAGGTGTTTGAATGAAACAGGAATTCACAGGAAGGTGGGGGTGAAGGGAACCAAGGAGGGTGAAAGAGAAATTGCTTGGGTAGCTGCTTGTCTTGGAAGCTCAGAGGCTTTGATGGTGCTTGTAGAGCCTACATGAAACAGAAAAAGATTTTACTATCCCTTTACTAAGCATCCAGTTTTGGTACTTTAGGCCTATGTTTTTATAAAAAATTAGGAGGCCTCTGAGTTTATTTATTTATTTATCATCACACTTTTCAGACACTTGAAAGGCTGTCATACAGAAGAAGGAAAGGATCCATTCTTGATCATCCCGGAATGCAGGACATGAAATAATAGCATCAAGATACAGGAAGTCAGATTTAGGCTAATCATCAGGGGAAAAAACTTCTTAACTGTTAGAACAGTAGGACAGCAGAAGCAATGACCTTGGGAGGGGGTGAGCACTCCAACGCTGGAGGCATTCAAGAGAAAATTGGACACTCATCTGTCAGATCAGCTTTGATTTGGATTCTTGCATTGAGCAGATGGTTGAACTCGATGGGCTTATAGGCTCCTTCCAACTGAATTATTCTATGATCCATCCATCTATCCATTCATTCCTTTCATATACTTGTATATCACTGCATAGAATGCCAGACACTACTACGGGCAGTTTACAATCAAAGTAAATAGAAGCAGTATAGCATAGTGTAGCAGAACAGAACAGAATAGAATATATCTAACATAAAAACAAAGTTAACCCAGACAATGACAAGGAAGGTGGCATAAATGTCTCTAGGATCAAGAGAGGATCCCCTTAAAATCTTTGTCTTCAGCAACCTCTTAAAAGATGAGAGGAAGGGGGCCTGGCCCAGCTCTGTTGGGAGTCTACTCCATAAGGATGGTGCCATGACTGAAAAGGCACAATTTTCTATAGATGTCTTCCCGGCTTCTCTCGGTGTGGCAGTCCATAAGAGCATGGCCTGTGAGAATTGGGTGATAAGGGCCAATATGTTCTTAGGGAAAGGCGTGCCATGAAATAACAATAAGCAGAGGCAAGTGGCAGCAGGCGGGGCACAGTTTCCTTCTTTATCTTTCTGACTCCTCACTTTTATGCCAAGCATAACAACAACTGCCTATATAACAAAAATGGCAACACCTGCAACAGTGCTTGGCAATCAGTGAATTTCTTAAAGCCATGGCTGTGCTTTCCTGCTGCAACGGGACAAGAAGAGGTAGGGAAGGAATGCCAAACTGGAGGATATGTGTATTCAAGCATCCCATCATTTTCCATTCACTACAATGTCCATGATCCAAAGAGAAAAGAAGTTAAGAGAGTACAGTGCAGGTGTGTGCATGTGTGCACCCTGGAAAAAGCAGTGTGTGTGGGAAGAATTAAAATTTGCTCCTCCTCTGCAAATCTCTTGTTCTCTTTCACTCTGCATCACAGAAAACAAACTGAGGTCCAAGTTCATGTTGAAGATCGAGATGAAGCAACCTTTTGCTCTCCTGTCCCCCTGGAGGTTTCTTTCCTCCTGGACATTCTCTCACAACACTTGACACATTGCACCACCACCATCAAACTCCCCACATGATCCTGCCTCCAGAGTAGAACTGCACCCAACCCCATGCCAAATGCTTGGAGCCAGACGTGAGAGTGTCTTGGGGTCCACCCAGACTCGTCACTAGGTAAGTGGGGTGGGTGGGAAATGATAATGCCAGTTGAATACTTCATTTTAGCCTCAATATGTTTTTTTTAAGGTGAACCTCTCTAATTTAAATAAATTTACACAGAAAGTTGTAGGAGATTAGGGCTTGTCCCATTTAGTTGGCCACGAGAAAATAGCCACCATGCATCCACGCATTTATTGGTGCTGGTTCAAGTGAACTCACTGCATGGCTATGAGATGGATCTGATGGCAGCTGGTGACCATAAAACACTATGCACTTCCATTTTGCTTTCTCTTACCTCTCTGTCAAGCCCAGCAGCTACTGTCACGATGTCTCCTGTCTCACTGTTAATGGTAAACATGTTCTGGGACGGGCTCTGTGGGGTTTGCGTCACAATCCGGTACCTCACCATCCCGTTGGCTGTGGTGCTGTCATCGGCATCGTTTGCTGTCACCGTCATTACATATGTTCCTTCATGGAAAAGCAGAGATGATAATGGAATCAATCATAATGATCTTTGTGGATGGGCCTAGAATACCCATGAGTAAGACGGTAAGATGGATGCACCTCCTGAGCTAAGATTCATCTATATATTTTCAGCACGACAGACACGATCAGCCCCCACTAACACAAAAGTAAAGTAAAATAGAAGCCCCTTGGCTTTAGGGGGTCATTTGCCACCCATAAAAATAGAAGGGCATTTTGAACATTTTTGTGTGGTGGAGAAAAATGGCTACTATTTATACAAAGAACTGCCCAGTGTAAGGATTGCATACCTAGAAAGTTCACTTTCACAAGTTTTTACAACCTTCCATGCTGCCTCTAGTAGGTGGGGACTTTTCTGGTCTAGGGGGACTGTCAATCTGTCCAGCAGTAACCAATTCCCTGTTGTTGAATTCCAAGAGAGCCCTACCTCTCTGCTCTGTCTTTTTCCCATTCTAGAGTCTGTTGAATTCTCTTGTTGAAAGCAGTCATGTTTGCCAGTTTGCAGTCAAGGAAACCTTTTAAAAATTCTTTCTACTATTAATGTCTCAGAGTGAGTTGTTGAGGCATTAAGTGCCTGTTAATGAGAAAAAAAGGGTAGACTACACTGAGGATGTTGCAGTTATTTTGCTCTGTGAATCCCTTCACTTCTACTGTGCAGCTAGAGGAATTTAACCAGTATTCAAAACTTTGCAACAGTCATGCTGTCAGGTACACAATCACATGGGACATCAAATTCTTGTGGCAGTTTCTGTCATTGGAACTCTGCATACATCATATTGAACAAGATGCCGGACAAAATGTGCATCTTTTCCAGTGCTCATTTTTAAAATGTGAGCATGCAACTCCAGCCACCTGTTAATATGAGAGTTATAGAATTCAGATTGTGTCCACCCTCTCGACAGTCTAGGAAGCAAATAAATCATACTGTTATAAATGTGTACTGCAGACATACTTCTGGGCTGGAACAACACAAGATACAACACACAGTCCTGATCTATGCCAGAGTGGAGTAATAGACAGAAGACCTAAAGTTTAGACTCTAACCTTTGACAAGGGAGAACTGAGATCAAAAGCCCCTCAAAGCCTAGAAGATCTCTGGAGTAAATGTAGACCTTTAATGACTTCGTTGGCCTTGCCAGTATCACAAGCTTGTTGTAAAGATAAAAAGTGTGCTAGTGGGGGCTGGCAGTATATGCCATGTTAAATCCTTTAAGAAAAGAATGGGATTGAAAATATATACCGAAAATAAACTACGAAATGAGTCCTAGGTCTGGTTCAGCCAAATGCAGCTGTTATTTGGTTCTTAGAGAGACTGCTAAAGGCAACCAAGAAGTCTTTGCAGTTCATTGATCAAAGCCCTGGCAGTTCTCACGTTAGTGGGGAATGCCAAGAAGCAAATACCAATCAACCCATTTAGGAAGAAAAATACATGTTCACTGGTTACTTCCTTGAATCCAAGAAGGTCATTTATCATTGATCAGTTAGGGTAATTTCAGAGCTGCAAAGAGAGTACTTCAATTTAGAGAAAGGCCTGTATGCTGACACTCTGAAAAAGCCACAACAAGACATAACTGATCCACTCATAAACTGAGGGCAATTTCCTACATATGTGATCCCCAGCTAGGAATGACACTGTCCTCTATACATGCCTATCTAGATTAATGCAAATGTTATACTCAGGTGTTGTTGCTATTTTGTGTTTCCACACTTTTACGTACAAACTCATTGCATTAACTATGGTTTGTTTTCACTAAAAATCATTTTAATGTAATGTGCATCTATACCCATCCCCCTTCTGTGTGTGTGTGTGTGCGCGCGCGTGTGTGTGTGCACGCACGTGTGTGTGTGTGTGTGTGTGTGTGTGTGTGTGTGTGTGTGTGTGTGCGTGTGCGTGTGCGTGTGCGTGTGTGTATGCGCACGTGCGCACCCAAAGATTTGGTATATTGTGTCTCCATCTTACACATTCCTCATTTCTTGATTCTTTATTTCCCTAATCTCTCAACTGTAAATAATCCTGGGTTTTCTCTGGATATTCTGGTTGTACCCTCCAATTATTAGGGCAAAAGTGGGCAAACCTCATCAGGGCTGGGAGTCATTTTTTTCAGTTTTGCTGATAGCCCAGGGCTTTGTTTCTAAAGGAGAAAAGCTAAAGAAGAGACAGTAGCCAGAACGACTAATTTGCACATTGCATTGTGTTGCTGTAATGGTTACTACCAAGGGCTTTTGCCAGTTGAAAGATGGATTTAACTAAGAACAACTGGGAGTGTAAAAGCCACTTCACACTCCCTAATGAACATTTTCTTTTTTTAAAAAAGGCAGGTGTGTGGGCCCTAGGGAGCAAGGTTCCACCCCAAGAAACATGGCAAAATTGCTTAATTGTTTAAATTTGGGGGTTTGGGGACTTGGGAGGCCCCAGTATGCTGGGAGTGGTTCTGCAAAATGCCTCTGGGGGCTATATAAAGTCTTCAGGCCACATGTTACCCATCCCTGCACTAAGGAAGGAAAGAAGCATATTTTTGCATTGTATTTTTTTGAAAAGTGCTGCTTGGTCTCTCAATCACACATTACGCATCCTTCAGTCTCTAGAGACTATGGTAATGTGCTCTGTATGGAGGACATGGAACAGCGTCTAGTGTGGCTGTGGAGGCCAATTCGAGAGGGACAATCCCTTCCACACTGAAGATAAATACAATCTGTCCCCTGTCCAGCTCCTTGATTTTGCTGGTTTGGGGTCTGCCTCTTTGCCTCGGCCTGCTGGACAAGAGCTTCTTCAAATTGGGAGAGGCCATGATGCACCGCCTGCCTTCAGGCTGAATACTCGGATGTCAAGGTTTCCCATCTTTTGACGTCCATTACTAAGGCCTTCAAATCCCGCTTGCAGATCTCATTGTATTGCAGCTGTGGTCTCTCTCTGGGGCGATTTCCCTGCACTCAGTCACACACACAGAGAGAAGAACTTTGAAGTAATGTCAATAACGTTTGTTAAACAAAGGTGGAAGTCTGTGCTTGCAGTGCTTATAACCACTAAGTAGTATAAGTGGCAGTGAGACAAGTGAGGGAAGGAGGCGAGGAGTGAACAGAAGAGGAGCTAGAACAGGGTGGCTCAAGCTCACTCTCTCCACCGGAGGCAAGAGAAGTTGGCCAACTGCATTCACCCTTCACTGCCATCCTCAGTTGCTTACTATCTCTTTCTTCCCACCCTTCACTGTGCTGGTGCCCCTGCTTCCTATCTGCAGGAAGCAGTGCTGGCTGCACAAAAGGGAGCAGGTCTCCACTTTACAGAACAGGCCAGAGTCTCCCCTTATGGGTACTGGGGGAATTTAGAGGGTTTTTATGCTGCTAGCAAAGGACCCTGGAGAGCCAAGCCATTGGGGCTTGGAGAACAAGGCTGTCTAGGACATTCTCCATGAAGGATGGACCAGCCGTTAAGCAGGTCCCTCTTCTGAATACAGCAAGGGATGAAGGTACAGGAATGGCAGTGGGCAGCTGGTTGAACTAGACTCCATCTAAGCCAGATCAATCTCAGGAGAAGGACTGCATCCTTACAGATTCCTCCTTCCCCACAGGAAGGAAACCAGTAGACAGAACCCTGCCATAAATAGACTGCAGAATAAGCCCTGCTGCCACCATTGCCTGTCATGATGCCTGTCACTAATAATTGCATGGCCCACGAAAGAAAGGCTTTGTTTTTAAGTGAAAGATCACCGGAGTAATGTTTGTCACTAATAATTGCATGGCCCATGGAAGAAAAGCTCTTTGTTTTTAAGTGAAAGATCACCGGAGTGCAGTAGAGCTATAAGTAGCCATTTTGGCATCTGGGGCAAGTGGCATGTCTGCCACCCATTCTGCTATGACATAGGGTACAAGGTCCTTTTCGAAGAGAAGACTGTGGTGTACCTCCGCAAAAACAAAACAAAACATTCAAAAAGGGAACTGTGGTGTCCCTCCACAAAAACAAAACAAAACATTCAAAAAGGGAAAAATCATCATCATCGTGTGCACACACACACGTACACACAGAGAGAGTGCAAAATCCTGCACTGGTCAAGAATTAGACATGGTTCAAAGAGGCAAAAGGAAGACATAAGAATCACTTCTATGAGACAAGGTTACAGTCTGTCACAGGAACACAATCACCTATTCTTCTCCAGAGCATTCATTTTAGTTCTCTCTGCAGAGCAAAACTGCTCCTTGTATGGTGCCACACAACAGATTCTCTCTCTCTCTCTCTCTCTCTCTCTCTCTCTCTCTCTCTCTCTCTCTCTCTCTCTCTCTCTCTCTCTCTCTCTCTCTCTCTCTCTCTCTCTCTCTCTCTCTCTCTCTCTCTCTCTGTGTGTGTGTGTGTGTGAGAGAGAGAGAGAGAGAGAGCATGTCATCTGGATCAGGATCATCCAGACTGACACATATGCTGTGGACAGCTCTGCTTGTTCCTTCCCTTGCACTGCAGGATGATAAAAACTTGTATCATTGAGCCCACGGACATGCGATGGTTTCAATTGCTTTGGGTCAGCGACCTTGCTGTTTTTGTAAATTACCAAGAGACAAGTTGAATGCCTTTTGTGCTGGAGAATAAACTCCAAGTAACAGCAGGGGGCCCTACCTGCCATCTCCACTCATTCCCTTTTGCAAATGTTGTATTTTTCCACTGTGACTTCAAACTTAACTAAAAGCAAAGGGACAGAAGCTAACAGTTAATGAAGGGATTCCTAATTTGCCTGGTTTGTCCCATCTCATCCTCCCCGTGCACCTGTTGCTAGGTGGCACTCCATGAGACAATGAGTCTTGATGGATTCTTGATGGATTCTTACCAGTGATCTGGTCTCATGTTGCTAAATGGAGAATGTGCAGAAAATGAAAAAAAAAAAAGGCTGGTCCCACTGAAGAAGAGTCTGTCCAAACTGGTCTTGGGGAATTGGTCTATAGGGGGCGCGAGAGGTGCTTTATGTCTCTGTTCAATTAACAAAATTACACAGGCACAAGAGGGA